ATATTGCAAGGCCAACAAACACTATTGAGAATAAATAATGGATTAATCATTTTATATACATATAATTAAATTAGCAAACAGCTCTTTTAGAAGTTAGCTTCAGGAAACAGAGATGATCTTATATACGTCCACGTGTAGATATAGAAAAAACTTTAATTATTCAATATGATTCTTCGACAAAATCAATAAAAAATAAATAATAGTAATAAATATAATAAACATGCAGAATTTACATGTGATGTAACTGGGACAAAAAAATTGTTTCATTATTTTTTTTATATATATATATATAGCAACAGTGTGAGGCTGTCTCGATTTTTAAAATGAGAGCATCTTAATTAATTATATATCTTTAGGGTGACCAAGATAGGAGAAATTAGATTCGTCTATATTATTCATGTCATGCCCCTTTATTTTATTTTTGTTGGATCTTATGGTGCTAATATATTATATTATCCACTAGTCCAAATTCAAAGAGAATTTTTCATTAATAAAATTTAAATTCTAAACCTTATACAGGGATTAATAAATCTCTTAATGTATTCTCCAAATTAAAAATAAATAAATCTCTTAATATATGTCCATTTATGCTTATTTATATATTTAATCATGATATAAGCACATGAGAGAATATATAGAGGGCTTGATCGTGCGCTAAATGATGTTAATTATAAAAGTGGTCATTATTTAATTGGTTGAATAACTAAACATTTTCTATGTTATTTTTGAGCATTGGTTTGAAAAATAATTATTTTGAAATGTAATTATTCATTTGATAGGAATGGCTAAAGTAAGGGGTTATCTAATAATTAATATGAGTTTATCTCTACAACTTGTTTCTATACACATATGCACACATACATATTCCCACTGTTACCTTATATAATTAAGCAACAAAGTTAGAGAAACTTTTATTATATATCAAATATAAGTAATATTACAAACTTGTATAAATAAAATATTATGTTTACAAATACACCCCTCACGGCTATCCATTTCTACTGTTCATTTTCTCTTTCCTATGTACTCGACTACAATATGCTTTATGTTTCTGGGCGGGGGGCAAAATTTGAAAAACAAAAACTTTTTTAAAATTCAATACCATTTCTTAATATGTGTCCAGTCTCATCCATTGCTTATATTAGTTAATGGAAGGAGTACATATAATCAGATAACTTAGTATTATTGGTGGTGGCTTTTAGTTTCGATGATAATGTAGTAAATTAAAAACGGTTTCCAAACTAAAATATATTGTTAATACAATATACCATTCTAGTCCTAGTTAGAAGATAGATAAAAAGAATTTTTTTTCAGCCATACCATTAATTTTTTATCATGAATTTTCCATTGAAAAATACTTAGGTCAAGTTACTTATATTCATTATGTCAAGTTTTTTAATCACACATTGTCATGTGTTTTATTTTTTCATGTGGGTTTATAATTAATATCTTAAAAATAGAATATATGACTATGTGTGATTACAGAACTTGACATAATAAATACTCCTCTGGTCCTTAATATAGGACCCAATTCTTGAGTTGGTTTTGGTCCTAAATATAAGACCCATTTTTCATATTTATCAATTTTCTCTAAATTACCCCTATGGATACTCTCTCAACCATAATCAAGTAGAAGAGGAAGAGGAGTATTAAGAAAGATGATTATGGTGTTTTAGGAAAAATGTGTCACTTTTCTTATAATTAACTAACTTACCTAACTTTCTTAATCTAATCAAATTAGTTAAATGGGTCTTATATTAAGGACCGGATGAGTATAAGGAACTTGATGTAAGTATTGCCCTTTTACATTTTACTCCTCACTAAATGTTGGGTATGTTATTTAATTTTTAAAATATATATATTTAATGGGGATAAATTAAAAAACTTATTAAATTTTTAGATATAGTTAATGGGGTTTTAGCCAATCTCTTTATCTATAAATGTGAACATAATGCCCACCACAAGCTCCGGAAAACATTGTTATTTAATTAATCAAAGTAGATCTGGACGTATAATGTTAATTAGTTCAAGTAATTCACCAGCATCAGTGCTTATCTCAATGTTCTGAGTTAAAGCTTTGTGCTTAAAAAAATTATTGTTTAGAGTGCTTTATAACCATGTGATTGGAATCTGCACAATTGGATTAGTCAAGTCTCAATGTAGGTTCTTGGAACTGGTCAATTACTTTTTTTTTTTTTTAATAAAGATAGTTTTGGACATTTTTTTTTTTGGATTATGCATCTATTAGGTACTAAATATGAAAACATGTTTTAATAAATATTCAAATGATGGTTCATAATGTGAGAGATTAATTTTCCCGCTAAACCTAACCCGTGATTGATATAAAATTTTTGTATCCAACATGTGAGATTTTTAATAACTAAGTTCACACTGGTCCAAAATCTACATACAAATTAAAGTAATGCTTTTTATTTATTTTATAATTTAAGTAATGCTTAATACAAAACTTTGAAGGCAGGGGATCGCTTCTCTTGGCTACCTATTGTTAAACCGTGTTCATTGCCATGGTTGGTGCAGTAACAAGAATGACAATTGGCAGATGAACCTCCTCAATTTTCCCCCCATTAATTACAATAATTAGAATGAGCCATCCATGCATATCTACAATTTTCGTAATAAATAAATTAATAAAGTTACTAAGAGTAGTTATTCCTTGTAAAATATTAAAATTTTCCTCAATAAAAGTCAAGAGAAGCTTAGTTAATTACTCCCTCTGTTTCTTATTATAAGAGACAAATAACCAAATTACATTGATAAAAAAACAGTTAAAATTAGTTGAGGACAATTAATATGTAAAAAATACGAGTATAATATTTTTTTCAACAATACCCCCATTAATAAGGAGAGAGAGCATGAGAGAGAACAATTAAATTATTAAAAAAAAAGAGAAGTGGGAGGGAGAGAGAGTATGAGTTGGAGACAAAATAAATAGGGGTAAAGTAGGAAATCAATACAAAAAAATAGAGACAACTTTTAAATGTCTCTTATATATGGGAACATGCTATAAGCATAAAATGTCTCTTATAATAAAGAACGGAGGGAGTAGTTAAGAAGTTTTATAACTAGTTAGGGGTACTATTGATATTAAGATCATGATTTCTTATTTACTATTGATATTGATATTGATATCTATTTCTTATATAAGACAGATTTAATGAGTTAACTACTTTTTCTCAATTCTAATGAAATGGTTTAAAGTGACTCATATTTTTAACAAGAGAGTATAGGCGATGACTACCTAAATTTCTTGCTTTAAATTATAAGTAAATTCTACCCACTTTTAGGTGCATTTAATAAAGGTTTCTAATCCTATCTCCTAAGTTTAAATCAATTGCGTCTAATCAAAGTAGTGGGAAAACATTAATAACATGAGCATTTAAAAAAAAATTTCAGATAAATAATGAACCTTTTGAAATCTTATGAAACAATTACAGAGAGTGTAATTTACCGGTTAAGTAAAAGACTTATTAAAACTTAAGCTGCTCAGATTAATTAACACACACAAGTTATTATGAGTCACATTATTTGCAAAGTATGCAATTAATGTGGCTTTCAGCTGGCACAAAACTTGAAATCTAGTACAGTATACTTTAATCAATTTAATTTTTTATTTCCTCAGATTAAACAAATATTATTTCGTTACAAATAAACATTAGTCTCGACCCTATAAAACAAAGAGGGATTCCCTTTTTATTTATATTATTTGTTGTTTTTAATTAATAATTAATTCAAGGCGATCTTTGCTGACCTGTAGATTCCTAGAAGTTTTCCACGTCAAAAGAATTAGACCACGTGCTGGCTGTTTCTTCTTGTTTTTTTCGTTTTTAATAATGCGACGCGTCATCATTCATTGTCGCGTCATTTTGTTTTTAAGGCAATTTTTGATGTTGAATAAATATACTAACACCTCACTAAAGAAAAATTATAACAAGTGTTCTTTATAAGTTTTAAAAATAAGTAATATTAATAATATGGCCTTGTTTTTGCTCAAAAAAAAAGTAATTTTCAGAATTTTTTTTATGAAAATTATTTTATTATTTAAATATTTTATTTAGTTATTTCGTGCTTTTCCGATTGTGTGATATTATTTTTTATATTTTTCATCAACATTCTGCGTTTGTTTTTTGAAAAAAAAAAAATCTAGAAACTACTTACATTATTTCAAAAGTATTACATTGAGTTCTAATTTTATTTGCGAAATATATGGCATAAGCAGATAAGCTAGCACGCGTGCAATCTTTAATTAATAACGAACATTTTATCAATTAAATAATTTAAGGTATTAAGAATTTGACTTGCATATCACAATCATATTATAATTTATCTTATAATTCATACATATCTTTATATATTTAGAGTACTTCCAATCAAAATTATGGCACGTGAATTTTTATATATTATTTATCTTATAATATACTACTATTTTTATTAATATTATCAACAATTTAAAATTCACTTCTTTTTATTTAATTGGATAAAATTATAATAAGTATATAAAACTAAGTACCCAAGTCTCCTTTTAATTATAATTATAATATATAATGGGAAAAATGGCAAAAAAAGACCTTCAAAATAGAAAAATTGCAAATTAGGACTCATGAGAAGATTAGTATGGGTTTTGACAACAATTTTTATGAACGAGTCCCTGTGTATAATTTTTCTATTTCAGCCGTCTTTTTTTTATGATTTTCCCTATATAATAAATGCAATATAATAATAATAATAATAATAATAATAATAATAATAATAATAATAATAATAACCCTCTTAAGGTCACAACTTGATTTTTTTGGGACCTCTTTATGCTCACAACTAAACAACATTATTTTGAGTTAAGCAATCACATGCATTGCTAACCGCTCCAAATAAACTTTTTAATTTTTTATTTGCCATGTTTCAGATTCTAATATAAAATTTAAAATTAAAATAGAAGTTTCATGGAAACAGCAAACACACAAGAATAAAATAATACACCATTAATCCCTCCCTTCAAACAAAAGCCATTATATGTAGCTATATATAAATAAGCCATGTTTCAATACTCATCTGTGCTTGCTTCTATATACTCTCTCAGATAACTTCAGCAGCTTCCAGCCTTCCAGAATATGATCCCTAATCTTTCTCCTTTAGATTCAGTTCAGCAATATCTTCTTCAGGATGATCCTTCCTCTATGATTCTCATGAACGTCTTCCTCACGAGTAATAATAACCCTAGTTTTAACCCTAGCCGCGATAATTCTTCGCCGGAGCAGGACGCTAGTAACTCAAGTGGCACTGCTTTTTCCGCCGAGCATGACGATGGTGTGAGATCTCCGGCAGGTGATCATAGGGTTGATAATGTTAGCAATGCAGGATCTGTGGTGCGTGAAGGGAACGCGCCACCGAGATGGAAGAATTACAGAGGTGTGAGGCGGCGGCCGTGGGGGAAGTTCGCGGCTGAGATCCGGGATCCGAAGAAGAACGGTGCAAGGATATGGTTGGGAACTTATGAGAGGGAGGAGGATGCAGCTTTGGCTTATGATAGAGCTGCTTTCAAGATGAGGGGTAGAAAAGCCAAGCTGAATTTTCCTCACCTCATTGGATCGGAGCCACTACCGGAGCCGCCAAGAGTGGTTGCTGGACAGAAGCGGCGCCGCTCACCGGAACCTTCATGGGCATTGGGGAATACATCTGAGGATGGTGGATCTCAAGGGTTAAGGAAGAGGAAGAACTTGGCTGGGTTATTGAATAAGTTAGCAACAAATGGAAATCTAAGCCAGAAGCTTGAAATGGCATTGATGAAGGCATAGGTCTTGTCCTTTTTTTTTCTTCTGTTTTTCTTTCCTGAAAAAAAAAGAAAATACGAAAATCATGGGTTCGATATGTTGTAAATCAATAAGAAGCTCTGAACAATTATTTCAATTTTAATGCGAAATATCTTGACGTAAAATTCTGTACTCTTGCAGTAGTTCCAATGTCGCCCATCATGAACCTTCATTTCTTATTTACTATTCCTCCGATCCTTAATATAAGACATATTTAACTAATTTGATTAGATTAAAAAAGTTAGGTAAGTTAGTTAATTATTATAAGAAATGTGACACATTTTTCCTAAAACACTATAATCACCTTTCTTAATACCCCCTCTCCTTCTTCCATTTGATCATGGTTGATGGAGTATCCATAAGGATAATTTAGAAAAAATTGATAAATATGAAAAATGGGTCTTATATTTAGGATCAAAATCAACTCAACAATTAGGTCCTGTATTAAAGACCGGAGGAGTATGTTTGTTTAATTTATTCATCTTTTTCTTTTTGGTTTTTTTAAGGTTAATTATAGAGCAATGGTTAATCTTTGAAGCGAAGCAAAGTATTATTTCTGAATGTTAATTAATATATAAATTAATTTTCTCTCTCTCTCTTTTTGATAAGATGAATATTCTGTATCTTGCTTAAGAAGTGAAGAACTCTGGGGGCTTTTTTTTTTGCCTTAGAGAAGAAGAAAAGGAATGAGTTGTAATTGCAATGATTACATCGAATTAATTAGAAGATAAGGTAAGGCACGAGCATCTAACTTTTGCGACTATTTTTCTTTTTTTCATATAAGATGCTTAATTAGTCTCAATAAAGCTCATTAAGACATAACATAATTATGCGTATTGATAATTATAATGAATGGATAGTTGTTCATATTGTAAGTTTTTTTTAAAAAAATTTATCTTGAAAGTAAATACATTTAAAATTGTAAGGATAAAGTTTTTTCGGTCTAACTGTCATGTATAATCCAAATTCGCATGATGTCGGGTTTAAATTAAGAGTAGTATGTTAAAATGTTTGGGATAAGTAAAAAATTTTTTTGCACGAATAATATATAAATTTTTTTTCTTTTGCGGACATTTAATTTTAAAAAGAATCCAATATTCGGAACTACTAACCTAAATTTAGGTATTCCTAATTTCCTACGCCCCAAATGGTGGATAGTTTCTCAGAGCATGGTTTTTAAACCATAAGGACTCAATTCTCAATTCAAATGATTATAAATTTAAGAATGTTGAGTTTAATTTCTTTTAAAAAAATAATAATACATAATTTACAATTTTTTAGCTTCAAAATTGTCCAAGGAGAATTTTGTGATTTTTACATTCAATATATTATTTTATTTCAATTATTATAACATGCATTAATTATCCATTGAGAAGTAGACCAATGTGGTATTAAAAATGATTTGATGGGTCCATGAAGGAGAAAGTTTCAAAGGGAGGAACATGGAGGAATGATTTTTTTTTTTTTTTTAAAAAAAAAGCCTTGTAAGCCGCTCTCAAAAATTAAGAACTACATTCTCCGCTTATCGTACAAAATATTTATGCAATATAATATAAATTCTTGTAAACTTTATTTTACAAGCCCAAGTTCAGATTAAAATAAATAATAAAAAAAATAAATTCATGTATCCTCTAAATTTCCTCAATTCATCATCAGCTGGGAATGTCTAATCCTTCCCTGTTTTGTAAAATCTTGTTGTTGTGTAACAGCTTCAAAACAGACTGATATTATAGTCAATCCATTGAGTGAATCTGACATTTCACCCTGACAACAACTCAGAGTTTTCAGCTTGTTCACACTAATATTCAACAAACTCAGCATCAGTATCCATTACAACTTGCATATTCTAACCAAGTACAACACAAATTCTTTTATTTATTAAAAAAAACCAAAAAAAGAAAGACTCAGCAGAAACTTGCTTGTACATGTCAAACAGATAAAAAATAAAAAATAAAAACAAGAAGAAGAATTAGAAGATATTAATAACTGGGTCAACAGTCCTACCAAGCAGAGCATTCCTTCAGAATTTGTGAGCATCCATCCACATGAACATATGACAAACAGTGAGAATTTTCAGCTCAAAAGGTGAGTCTATTCCAGTAAAAGAGGCCAAAAACAGAATTCCTTTTAGCCCGTAAATAAAGTTCAATTGGGACGTGCAATTAATTGTATTCAAGAATCTGGAGCCACAAGCAACTCATTGGGATTCAGATAGGTCATACATACAAAAATAATGACTTCAGAGGCAACAAGACTTTCAACATCATATTTAACCATCTAATACAGGATGCAAGGTCTAAATAAAATAGTATTAAGCTTTTACTCGGGAAACAAAATGCTTAAAATTACATTTGTAAACAGTTTTATTTCAACCAGAGACAACGCTACTTACTTTTATGCATTATATAGGGGAGCACCAAATAAAGCAACGAAATATCAAAATCATTGGACAACCTTATAGTAAGCTAGTGTATTTGTTATCCACTTGACCCATGAATAAAATGGGGGATAAAAATAAGGGAGAAAGTGCCAAGGAAGCATAAATCAGAGAAACTACAAAAATTCCTCGAATCTGATCTGATATTTTCGATCTGAAAAATTCCCAGTATTCCAAGAGTGGGAGGGACTTGTAAGGTTACCTGACGTGCTACGCCACTGTTGCCCTTCATGGCTCATGAATTGATCAAATTGGCAGGACAGGAGAAGCCGCAAAATCTTAATAGAATTTTCATTAACTGGAATTATGATTCCAACAAGATATTTAACAACAAAATGCAACATTCTATGACATTGGGATATTTAACAACAAGAATTTATATTTCAAATTTTCTTATTGGCTTGGACTGCAAGACGATTTTTCCTTATATAACCTTGCAGTCAAATCAGAAACAAGAGCATACTTATTGTTCTCATAGCATGCTGTCTTAAAGGCGGCTAATGTTACTCTATTGACATTGGGATCCATGTCTACCAACTTATGAAAGAACATGGCTGCCATGGCAAGTTTTCTCTCACTACTTAGTTTCCTGATCAATGTATTAGCTGTTCGAATCCAGAGCTTTCTTTCCAGCCTTTCGAGGATCACCATCGCAGAGCCACAGTCATCTGTCTTGCAATACTCATAAGCCAAAGTGACCCGAGTAACTTCACATGGGATAAGCCCTTTCTCTGTCATGGTGTCATACAAAACACGAGCTTCGTTCAACTTAGACTCTTTGCAAAGACCACTAATAAGAGAACCATAAGTAATACTATCTGGAGTACAACCATGGTCACTCATCCTATGAAAAAACTTCATAGCCAAGCTTAAATTTCCTTCCCGACAATACCCACATATCATGGACGTATAAGTTTCCTTTGATGGAACTAGTCCAATTCTTACAGCTTCATTGAAAAACATCTCACTTTCCTTCATTCTCTTTTGCCTACAGAAGGATGAAATTAAAGTGGTGTATGAATAAATGTCAGCTTGAATGCCACTCTTCACCATCTTATTGAACAACACCAAAGCCTGATTAATATCTGCCTGTTTGCAATGTTGAGCTATGAGAATAGTATAGGTGACTTTATCAGGTTTCAATCCGTGATGAAAACCATTCTTGAGCAATTTGTAAGCCTCTTGTACCCTTCCCTTCTTGCAAAGGCCATCAACAATAGCATTATATGTACATATGTTCGGGATAAAACCCTCATTGCTCATTATATTCATCAATTCATATGCTCTATCGAAGTTACCTTCTTTGCAGTGTCCATCAATAAGTGTTGAGTATGTGTTTGTGTTTGGGACTAATCCCTGTTCCTTCATTCTGTGAAGAAGCATTTCCGCCCGGTTCAATTTACCATCCCTGCAATACCCACTTATCATTGCTGTATAAGTAAGGACATTTGGCTTGTGATTTTCACTCCGAACAAGCTTAAGAAAAAGTCTGAATGCTTTCTCAGTCCACCCTTTCTTACAAAGACCATCAATCAACGCTGTATGTGTATACACATTGGGCTTCCAACCTTTATGAACCATCTCCTCCAACATTTCAAACGCTTGCTTGACGCTTCCCCTTTTACATAAACCTTCGATCATCGATGTGAAATTAATCAAATTTGGCTTCAAACCCATAACACTTAGTTTATGAAAATACCAAGACGCTCTATTTGTGAAACCCTTGTCACAGAAGGTTCTGATTATTAATGTAAATGCTGTATTATCAATCACAAAGCCCTTCTCAAGCAAGGCACTTAACCAACTATCAGCTTCAAAAATATTACCTATTTTACAATATGCAATAACCATCAACTTATAGCTTGTAGAATCTAGGCGAACCCCTCTCACACACATTTCTTCGAGCACTTGTTCTGCATATTCAACCAACCCAATTTCGCCAGTGACCTTTAAAATCCAGTTCAATGTTTGAGTACTGGGAATCAAACCCTGATTATGCATTTCAATCACCATATCTACAGCCTCCTTCAACTTTCCGATCTCAGCAAAAATCTTCACCATAGACCGCAACACTTCATGGGCTTTCTCGAAATTTCTATTCCCAATCAACGACATTGAACAAACGATATAGAGTCGCATAAAATGCCGAAACTTCGGAAATCCAATTGCCCAGTTCAAGAAACTCAATGCTACCATTGATCCAGCTTCACTTGCAAGTGAAGCAACTACCGTAACGGCTTGCTCGTGAGTCAAGGAATCCGCATCCACGTTGAGATTAAGACTTGGATGCGACACTCTCATGTGAGCTTGCTGATAGTAAGAATCACATACTAATGCGCACACCATTTTCACAGTTGATTGAGAAGCAAGATGAGATGTTGGTCGAGGCGAAGATGAGGATGTAGCGTAAGTAGAGGGGTGGTATTGTCTGCATAAAATAGAAGTGGCTTTGCAAGTGCACAAGAGTTTCTGATGAACGCCATGATTTCTGAGAATCAGAACGGAAAGCATGAAAATTTGATTAACCTTCGATGCGTTGGAACTATGGCATCTCAGGGAACTGTCACAGAAAAACGCCCCCAGTCTGTTCAAAATCGAATATCGTCTGCCGCCCCCCGCCGTGTTTCCAATTTCCAAGCGACGGTTGAGGCTTTATTTTCATAAAACATAAGTGTATATATATAATTCAATTTTTAACGGTAAAGAGGGTAAAGACACCGTAAATTAAATTAAGAAAATATGTGAAAATTAGTCCCAAGTACTATCAATATAAGGGATCTTAATTAATCGGGTATTTTAATTCATTGTTGGATTTTTGTTTTTGGGCATGCACCAGGGTATCCATCAGAGCGAGCCCAATGACTAATCCCTTAGATATTGTCAGGCCCATAATGGGGGTGACCCTCCCAGACATGCTTGCTCCATTTCCATCCCTCCAAGAATCAAACCCCAAAAACGATAGTTAAGGGAACACAATTTCTTTACCAGTCGTGCCAGCGTGCGCTGGTATTCATTGTTGGATTTAATTTTGGTCAATTTATCCAAACGTCCGGCCCAAGGAAAAAAAAAAAGGCCAATGACATAATGATTTCTTCGGGTATAACTTAGTGCTGTTACCTTTTAATTTGTTGTGGATATTTAATTCAACTCCGTCCCAACGCCCGGCTGATTCTTCAAGTAAATATTTGATAGAATATTCAATTTATTTCAATATCATATATATATATATATATATATATTATAAGTGTGGGTGCAAAAGATAAATGAATTTCCCATTATTTGTGAGACGGGATCGTTTCACTTCCACCCAAATAACCTTATAAACTTCTTTCTCAAACTTTGAAAACATCATTTCAGATTCAATAACTTGTTGTCACAACATAAAGCTCCTTGATAGTATATCCGATGTATTTAGAACACTTCCAAGAGGTGTAAGATTCATCAAGTCAGATCAGTGAATCAGGCTGCACAAACACTAGTTATAAAACCAAATGAGTAGAGATAAACAAACAATTGAGCTGCACAAACGGTTTGAGATGTTATGTGATATTTTTGGCATAGGGACACATTAACAATATCAAGGATTACACAACATTCTTTTGAACTGAGGGAGGCCAAGACAATCTCCTGTGGCTTGAACCATTATCTTGAGGGATCTCACCTGCTTGGCCCTCTTCTCCATCTGCTGCTCCCTGCTGACCCAATTCTTGCCTCCTCGGATTTCTGATAGCCAAGTCATCGAAACTTGATTCGTTTTTCCATTGTGGCGGAGTCACGCAATCAGAAACTCCTGGAAGTCTTTGCGAGGGATCTCCGGCAGGAGTCCTAGGCCCGAGGGTATCAGAATAACCAACTCTCAGATTTTGAAGAGTTGCAAACGATTCTCTCATTGCCGACATGGCTTCAAAGAACCGAGTGCAAGATGCCAAAGCCACTGGGATTGGTCGAAGCATTTCCTAACAAAAGAACACTGGAATTTAACAAGGTAGACTATGAATGAAACAAAGAGGTAGGGCCTTCAAGGACTAAAGAATGAACAAGCCACAAATGGTGATATACAGTTAACATCAGCTAGCAATTACTTATTTAGCAGAAAAGATCAGTCTTAGAAAGGTTGAGATGATTGCTTTGCTTCAATGGAATTAGATCGATTCCAGAGCACACAGAATTCTTCCAGCAAGAGATCATTTCTGATCATGCTTATTCACAATTTGAGGGGGTCAAAACCAGACAATACAAATAGGTTGAATACAAGGATGCGACTCAATATGACGCTCAGAGTGAAGAGACATCAGAGGAAAACAGTGTGTACTACAATCATTTATATTAGACAAAATAACCTAAATTGACTGAGTATATATTTGATTGTCCTTTAAATTTAAAATTTTAATTTTTTTCATTTCAAAATAGATCATTTTATTCTTCAAATATGAACACATTTTACAGTTCCATTAATAGCAATTGAACATTGAACATTCGCCAATCAGATTCTAAAGCAATAACCTCTGGATTGAGACCTGTAGTTAATCTCGACTTTCCAAAATTCTTCCTCTGTTCCTTTTTATGAGATAACTTTTAAAAGGTTTTAGTGTTTCTATTAATAAGACATTTTTCAAAATCTAGACAGTAATTAATACGTTCTTTAAATTAATGCACCTGAAAAAAGATGCGTTTAATTAATTTAGAGAGTGTGTGTAAGAGAGAGAAGAGAATTTAATGAAGGGTATTTGTGTAAAATAAAGTAATTTTAAAAACATCAATTAGTTTTCTTGGTTTGTATAAAATAGGTAAAATTGTCTTGTGAAAAGGAACGGAGGAAGTAAAAAACATAATAAAGGATGACAGCCAACATGAACTAACATTGCAACGATGACAGCCACTGCTTGTGATGCAAATAGTATCAAAACATGAGTAGTCATTATATCTACAAAATCAATCAATCTGAATTTATCAAAGTTAAAGTACAACTGCACAAACATACCCCCCAGACAGAAGGAGGTTCCTTGAAATTCTGACTCCAATGGAAGTCTGCCACTGATGCAGTCAAGGCACCATAATCGCTAGCTGCCTTCATCAGTAGTTCAGAGAATTGTTTCTGCATAAGTGGAAATATTTGACTTAGCATTAGAATTTGGCATTCTTACATACTTTGAAAATCACACTCAATAATACTTGACAAATATTTAAAGATAATTTCCACCAATGTTTGAAAATAAACCAATCAAACCAAACAGAATCAACCTAGTATCAGACACTTTTTCCCATAATTTTAAAACTCCAGTATATACAAATTCACAATCTTTATTTTTATTCATATTCAAGACTGGTACGACTCACAAAAGGCATTTTTATATGTTATGCTTTCGTAAAGGAACGCATTAATGCATTTCAGCTAAAACTAACTAGCTTGAACTTAACCAATCTGGTCTTCAATGATTGTTCAGCTAACTCACTTTAAACAAAACAAATTATTTTGGGTTTTTTCAAAGCAATCAATGGCTTGATCGAGTTTGATTTCATTTAGGTGCAAAAGAAGGCCAGATAGAAGTTAAAGAATTGAACAACAATCCTACAATATGGGCTCCAAAGCAAAGAGCCCATCAACTCAACATCACTACTTCCATGCTAGTGCTATAATCCTCAGTTGTCTGAATCTATACTGCTTATGACTCTGCAAGTAGCACCAAGAGCTTTCACTAGACTCTAGCCAATTTGACAAACAAACTATTCAATTTCCCCAGTAGAACTCAACATCAACTGCATAAAAAATCATAACTTCATACATTTAAATACCATTAAGAATGGACAATCTTTATAAAATATAAGATCAAGCTAGAGGAAAAACTAGCCTTTGCAACCCTGGGCAACAAGCTAAAGGAAAAAGAGCTTCATGCACAGGATTGTCCCTTTTACCCTCCATTAACTTAGAATGACTGAGATATAGACAAATCAGAGTCTACAATCATGTTGTATCCGCTTCTAAATTTAATGAATTCCCCGTTAGGATTTTGCAATGATGCTTTTATCAACATTTATCCAAGTAATAACAATAATCACACTACAGGCTGCTTATTAGAAAAAGCAGAAGCTAAACACCAGATTTCAAGTTTGAACAAAGGGAACAATAAAAATTGTATATTCACTAACCTGATATTCTGCTTCTACAGGAATGCAATCAAGTGAGTAAGGTTGCTGTAGGCGAGCTATAATGCGATCCTGCCAATTTTTAAGTAATTAGGACAGATTAGGTAATTTTCTAATCTTCCATGCACACCCCCAAAAAAGGGGGGAAAAAAAAACTTCAAATCTCAATTTTTTCCCCTGGGGGGGGGGGGATCTAGAGGAAGTGTACAAAGTTAGGAAGGAATTTGTGCCGTTCTATTCTTAGTAGTTAGCTCATGATTTAATCACTTATCAATCACCTTCCCCCAAACAGAATATTAAACTAACAACAAACCTTATCTCGCTAGGTGAGGTTGACTACATAAATCGCACAATGCTATTGTGCTTTATCAATAGCCAATAAATTGAATATAGCAACATACTGAACTAATCAGTAGCAATTGAATACACTGACATATGAAAAAACTAATCAGTTTAAAGAGACCAGATATTCATAAATAACTTTTTGATATATTTTGTCATCCAGCAAAAAGACCAATGCATGTCTCCATTTTTTCTTTCTTTCTTTCTTTCGTTTTTTTTTTAATTCTTTTTGCAGAAGTATTAATTCATAGACTTGGTTGTTGATGGAGCACTACAGCATCGTGCGATCTATGTAGCTGACCCCACCTATTGGGATAAGACTTGTTATTGTTGTTGTTGTTGTTGTTGTTATAGAAGTATTAATTCAAATGTTGAAACTTGATTAAGACAAGACCATTACCATGGAGCTTTTGTTCAAGTGCTAATGCATGGGCAATGCCAGCAAAATGGACAAAGCAAATTACCTTATTTTGAATAACATCTTTCAGTATAGTTGTAATCCTTGCCAATGTCTCGATCTTCTTTTCCATTTCACTCACATGGGTCAAATGTGCAACATTTTTATCATCCTAGAAATTTTCAAAGTCACAAGATCAAAGCAAATTGAACACAGGTTAGCAGGTTTTCCATTCATTATGTAAGAATGAATTCTTCAGTTTTTCTGATTAATAGAAAGATCAGATTTGTGGTGACTGGTTCAGTGGATCTTTGTAAAAAATCTGACCTTGCGACCCTGAAGTTCCACTTGCAAATCGGCTATTTTTCTTTGTACAGTAGTTAGTTCTCTCAGAACCCTGATTAAGTCTTCACCCTTTTCGCCTGTAGTAGAGGATGAATTATGAAGTTCTTCCTAAAAAAAGAAGAGAACGACAAGATCAGCCTCGTGAAAAATTTGATCCATTCACACTACAAAATGTAAAAATGTTATTCATAGATTTGGTCCGAAACAATAATTAGTAGATAGCAGCACCCAGAAAAGATCACTTATATGGAAAGTTTAATCAAAATGTAAACAAGTTACTCATAGATTTGGAAATTTTACCAGGTGACAGATTTTAAGTTGGTTTTGTCTATGGCATTGCATCATTTATTTTTTGAACTAACAGATCAAACTAGTTTCATTCCTGTACCAATGTCGCCTACAAGGTGCTGCACATATATAATACCCATGCTTGATAATTCACTTAAACAACTGCAGTATGCTTGGATGGGAGACAGAGTAGGCAAAGAGAAGATTTCTTTGAAAACTCATGTATAGTAATGTTTTGTAAGGAGGAGAATGGAGGATTTTCAACTAAACTTCCAAAATGCACCAAGTCTTCCCTCATCTCCCGTCATAAGTTCCCCCAAGCTGAGGAATTTGGGAGAATAAAGTCTTCCCAAACAAGACTAATTGTTCCTTCCCCTCCCTTCTCTAACCTTACTTTTTCTTTGGATTCGTTTCCTTCCCTTCTCCTCCCATCTCCCAAAGGCAACAAAGCATTTCATTTGACTTTTTCTATGGCAGAAATGATCTGGATTCTTCTTTGCCAACCAATTCCCAATTGAACTAAGCTTCAGGCTTAAAAATGACTCTCAAAGTTGAACCAAGGACAAGGAGAAAGGAAATGCTGGGAATTTAGTGAGCTCTAAATACCCATATCTCCACAGTATCCAAACCTTGCCCAGTGGGTCATATGTGATTACACATTCACAGAACAGACCATTTGTTTTCATGTGGAATGAAAGCAGCAGTTATATTAAATTTCTGTTTTATTTATTGGGTAATATAAAAATGCAGTACAAAGTCTTGTTCAACGAAAAACAGAGATGTAAAATCAGCTCAAACATTAACATGTAAGTTTCGAACAAAGACATTACCATGCACACTATTCAAACAGCGTCAATTCTATCACAAATCCCACGTTCTAGTGCCTCCATCTAATTCAGCTCAAATCTCATCTTCGATTGTCACTACTGGGTATTTCAAAGTATGTTTAATCATGGCAAGTACGAAATGCCACAAAAGGAAAATTGAAATCATTCTGAAGTATAAAAAGGGAAGTTACTGAAATCAGCGTGATTTTGACCACCCAGAGGTAGAAAAAGTACCTGGGAAGGAGGAGAGGAGACAGAGAAGCCAAGATCGGAGGCAATAGAAAGAGCGTCTGACATACCCCCAATGCGTCTGAGAGGCTTCCTACCAACCCAAGTGGAGTCACCCCCCATCGACATTTTGAAATACAAACACCGGAAGAGGAAAAAGAGTGCACTGTCTCTGAATGAGCACAAATTGAACCGAAGGAGAAATTGGGCTTCGTTGAAGAGGAGGGGCGGAAGAAAATTTGAATGGGAAGAAAGAAACTTGGCTTTGCTTCAGCCGAATGCTTCACTTCAATGACCAAAATGGAAACTTGGGAAATGCTAAAGGACACGGGGTGAAGAAAAGGCCTCCTGTGGGTCAAAACTCAATTTCGAAGTGCCATTTGGGTATTCGGGGAGAAGTAAGGGCACCAACCGAAAAGAGGAAAAATAGGGGGAAAAAGAAAACATAAAACATAAAACATAAAAAGATGTGACCGGCTTACAAGATGACTCATTTATGGCTTCAGAAGAAGATTAATATTGTATTCAGATTTTGATTAATGTAGATTTATGTGAAATTTGATTGATTTTGAAATGTGAAGATCCGTACACATGCTAGTTTTGAGGTAGGATAAAGGAAGGGAAACAAAGCAAGCCTTACCTTCACCAATGACGTTTCTTTTTGTCCGAGAAATGAAGCCAATAGAAAACAACCAGACCTGAGATGCAAGCGGACTAAGTTGACGGAGAAGAGGATGAAGCTGAGCGTGGATGGAGAAGACGGTGAATTATCACTTTCGGCTTCCATCCTCAAGTTGCAAAGGAGCAATAACTTGAGTTAATAATTTCTAAATTATTTTTTTTTTTGCATGTTCAAAGGTGACGGTTATTTATGTTACGTAAAATGGAAAAAAGAAACGCTGAAATAAAAAAATTGTACACAAAGACTGATTTATAAAAATTGTTGTCAAAACACATATTATTATTGTTATTTTTCCTTTAATATGTCGGTAGAAAATTATAAAGCTTTTTCGATCTATCTTCCAATGCAACAAAATTCATTTCAAAATGTAATTTAGTTTGAAAGTTATAAATAATGAAAGATCGAGCAAAGGTAAGAAATATTTTTCTGTAATATTTCAAAATAAAGCACCATATTTCAAATATCTATCTTTCATATGAAAACAGTTTTGATTGAAATGTCTTTGAAATTTAATGAGCATACATTTTCATATAAATTAAGTTTCACATTAAAAGAATGCGCAGTTTGTGAGATATTGTAAAAATATTAACAAAAAAAAAAATCAAAGCTAGAACAGAGTATTTTTGCAGTGATAAAATAGATTTTACGATAGGAAACCGATTTTGTGCAATTTGTAGTAACAGTGAGAAAATCAATGAAATCAAGTATAAGGAAGCTAAAATCGACTTTGAAAGAGCAAAATAATGGGATAGTCCAAATAGCCAAGAAAACTGGATTTTGAGTCATTCAGGAAATTGATTCTAATGCTCCTAACTAACCTTGTTCTTTAAAATTACAGAGAAATCGATTTGAAGAACAAAGTGAAATTGATTTTAAAGAGGTCATGTACAAAGTTTATACCAAGGCATATCAAGAACTCGATTTTAAAGACATTTTAGAGAAGAAACGCAGGGTTAAGACAAATTTAAATTTTGATTTGATGGAAGATCAACTTTTGGAGTTGATCCCTCAACTATTGAAATTGGAAGTAGAATGTGTTTAGGTTTAGTTGTAACGGCACTTGTCATGTTTGGATAAGGTTCCAAGTTTGAGTTCAATAGTGATATGTTTGTGTGTATGCATGTGTTGAACTGTAATAAATCAGTCTTGTAGACTCAAAATTGTAAAGTCTTTTACACTTAGGTTTATCTTTTAATATGATGTTTATAGTCTTAGAATCATGTGATGTTTAATAATATTAAATATTTAGAATTTGAGCAGTGTTAAACTCTGAAGCTATATAAGGAATTCTTCCATTCCACCTTCATAGTTCCAAACAAAACTTTCATTATTAAAATATTTAGGGAATTTACGAGGTAGTTGGTTTTTTTTCCTCATAATCCATTATTCCACACTTACATAGTTCCTATATGTTTGCACTTCAAGTTTGGTAAAAGCCAAAAAAAAAAAAAAGGGTGCTTATCTTAAAACATCTAACTTACCAACAAGCATTGAGTTATGATCATTTAGCTATAAGGTCTCGGATTAAATGCAAAAAATGCCATTGACACAGATATCCCAAAAAATTAGATCCAGCAATGCTCAAATATAATTCAGTAGTGTTGGATGTCAGATGATACCATCAGAAAAGAAGGCATCTAATTAACTTTGTAAAAACAGGAAGAACGGGGAAGTAATATTATCCCTGAAGTTTCTATATCAGCTTATCATAAACACCTAGCAAAAATCGATATAATATAATATATATATATATATATAATGAACTGGAAATTTAACCATACTATTCATAAAGCCATGACCTGTACAGCTTTTACATCGGGCTCTGTGCAATCCATATAAGCCGGAGATATAGTTGGAAGAACAAGTTCAATGGATAAACAATAATATTATATTTTTTGCGATCATATTTGGAAGGCGAGACGTTGATGAATCCAAAGACACAAAGCTGTGGCAGCAAATGGCAAAGCAGGCATCATATGAACAATATTATTTCAACAGCTTTTACAATTTCTCTCAACAACATAATTAACCAGCGGAGATTCCCATATGTTCCCCATTTGTATTATTCTGCCTCTTTTCCAACTTTTAATAATCTTTTCCTCTCCTTGTTTTCTATGTACAATGTCTTGCCTTGCGTTGCCTCACGTACATTAACTGGAAGAATATTCATATCTATATATACACTTATATTTGTATATACATATATGTGTCCTTGCTTCTATCGTTCCATTCTCCTTTCCATTGTCTCCTTCAAGCTTGAGCTTCTTGTTCTTGAGGCTACAGAGAGGGAGAGGGAGAGAGAGGAAGAGAGAGTTTTGAGTCATTGAAGTTCATCAAATTAAATTCATTTTGATTTTTCACGAATTTAAGCTGCAGGTTGTGTTGTTGGTGGGAAAAGGATTTGGAAGAAGTGGCTCACTGAAAATTATAATCATAAGAGAAAGATGGAAGGAGAGAAATCCGTTGCACTTGATGCTATTATGAAGGAAGCTGTGGATCTGGTATGTGTTTTTTTCCCCAGATTTTCCCCCACACAAACGTGTGTGTGCGTGTTTGTGATATGTCTCTTAGAAGTATTTTCAATTTGAAATCAAAATCACTTTACAGTTTCATGTTCACATTTTTCATAGCATGTTAGATGGTAGCTCAAAATTGGTTTGACTTGGTTAATTATCTATGCAATGAATAGAAAATACCATCTAGCAAATTCTGGTGATAGTGCAGAAGCACAGGATCAGTGACACATGGCTTATATATAAATATAAATATATACTCCTCTGATTCTTAATATAATACATATTTTTCCTAAATCACCATAATTATCTTCCTTAATATCCTCTCTTCTTCTTCTATTTGATTATAGTCGAGGGAATATCAATAAGGATAATTTAGGAAAAACTGATAAATATGAGAAATAAGTTTTATATTTAGGATCAAAATCAACTCAATAATTAGGTCTTATATTAAGAACCGGAAGAGTATAATTTTTTCCCTACATCAAAACTGTTCACTTGTGATAATACATCTCACCCACCCCTCAAGGGGGAGTGCACACATATATATCAACCCACTCTTATGTGAGTTCGTCTTACATGGTTGGTTATACGGTATAAATTTCAGGAGAAAGGTGAGGAAGTAATTTACTATTTATTAAATTTATTATGGGTAATTAATATTGCAGGAGAATATTCCTGTTGAGGAAGTGTTTCAACATCTCAAATGCACAAAGGAAGGTTTGAGCTCTGAGGAAGCAAAGCAAAGGCTGGACATGTTTGGATATAATAAGCTGGAAGAAAAGAAAGTTAGTTAATTATATTTGGAATTTAATAAATGGATTTAACAATTTTTTTCTTGTCATATATATCCACGTCATAATTAATTTCCGATAACTTTTTGTTAATTTGATTCCAGAATTTTGATTGCTGCTACAGGAAAGTAAAATACTGAAATTTCTGGGGTTCATGTGGAATCCTTTGTCTTGGGTGATGGAAGCTGCTGCTATAATGGCTATTGCTATGGCCCATGGAGGGGTAAATTTACTCTCTTCAATATTATCCCTTCTTTGTTTTAAATCTTTTCTTAATTTTCCCCCCTAAAAGTAATAAATGATTCAAGATGCAATAGTGTAAAGTTATGAAATTCAAGTAAATATAAGAATTACAGCTATTGGATATTATTCCTTCTCTCACTTAATTTCCCTTAAATTGCAAGTATAATAAGAAAGCAATTCTTTTGAGTAAAAATGTCATTTTGATTACATTTGGCCTCCATGGGGAAGAACAATTTTAAGTGACTTTACAACTGGATGCCGTGAGAGAAAAGTTAAGAATTACGTTTGTTTTTTTGAAGTGCCCTTATTATCAAAACCTTTTACTTTGTAACAGTTCATTCTCTCTTTTTTGATTTTATACAATTTAAACACATGCACACACAAATATGTCAATGTCAAGCTTGAGCTTGAAATCTATCCGAACAGGATAGGTAGCGTTGTCACTATGACAACTTGCCATTGACATAGTAGTTCCTTTTTTTGTACATCTCACAATGTGGCTTATTTCTGTAGGGCAAGCGTGGAGATTATCAGGATTTTGGTGGTATAATCATGTTGCTTCTCATAAATTCTACCATAAGCTTCATAGAAGAAAACAATGCTGGAAATGCTGCAGCTGCACTTATGGCTCGTTTGGCCCCAAAAGCTAAGGTTTTTCTCTCTCTCCTCATTCATCAATCATCACTCAATAATTTATTCTGTCTGGTTGTTTAGTTAAGGACCCATTTGTTTAAGAGTTAAAAAAAAAAAACAAGTAATTTTAGTTATGCAAAGCCATCATGTTTAGCTTAGGGTTCTCCCAACAACTCGCTCAAAACTTAAACTACTTTTTTTAATCTTAATCAAACTGGCCCTAAATTATATTCAGTGGTGTTCATTTGACCTGAAATGACATATTTATAGGTACTGCGTGATGGAAACTGGAGTGAAGAAGACGCTTCAGTGTTGGTTCCTGGAGACATAATTAGCATCAAGCTCGGTGACGTCATTCCTGCAGATGCTCGTCTCCTTGAAGGAGATCCTTTAAAGATTGACCAAGTATACAAGAATTTGATCCTCCTCAAGAAAAACCTTTTGAAAGTTTTCATGTTCT